AATAAATGTTTGATGCCAAAATATATTTTAATTTTAGTAAAAAATAAAATAAATACTATGTCCGTGCATTAGCACGGGCCTAATGCTAGTATATATATATATATATATATATATACACTACAGTACTAATTAATAAAATTGATCCAGATCCTGGTCAAGCGTAATTTAGTCCCTAGATGTATTTTCGTTTGTTTTTCTTTTTTTTTCTTTCAATCCAAAGGAACAAATACTTAATATGTAGTGTATATCGTAATATGAAAGCACTAGATGCTGATATATATATATATATATATATAGCAATGAAGGGAAATGCACTGTTTATATTAGCTTTTCCACTGTAAATTTACAATTCAGAAGAATAGAATGGATGTGTTTAATTTCCTCTCCATGGGGATGATCAATAAATGATGGGTGCATTCTTGCAAATCTCTTATTCAGGTGAACTCATCATATATAACCGCTAGTTACCACCCGGACTGGGCTATTCATATGGAGTGATCTGTTATGATGACGTGCCAAATTCTCACAACGCGTGTCCTCTTTTCTTTGGCTAGTTGTATCTCACAACACGATCATTCTGTTGAATTCCGGATATATAGATTTAAGTTTGTGACTACTCAAATTTCTCTTCTCTCAGTTGTTGTATATTAGTTACTAGTATTTAACCCGTACTTACGTACGGGACAAAAAAAACTGCTTAAAATTGTACTAAAAATTAAACATGAAATATTTACACAAATTAAAGTAACTACCTACAGAATTATATTCTTTCAGCTTATAAGATTATAAGATTTATATGTTTTCTGGCGTTGACTCTTGCCTAAACTGGTTCATAATTGATGTATCATAGATTTAATATATTTCACCAGATTTCTAGTTACATTGATCTTAAATATTATGAGAGTATTTTATCAACATATTTAACACCATATAAAATGCATACACATCCTGCTTAGTTTCATATATTCTTGATAATAAAATTTAAAATATAAATTTTAAAACTAAGTATTTATCAAAGAAAACGTCAAAATTATTTAGATACATACATTTGGAGGAAAAAATCTGTTTTATTGTATGCAAGAAAGAAACATTTTTCTCCATCCTTTTCTCCTATCCAAATTGACACATGGATCAATTTCTTCAAATTATTTTGTTGTTGTTGTCATTTCATCTTTCAGAAAGCTAGAAGACCGTCTTTGTTATGAAGCTATTTCCACTTAGTCTCCGTATACATCATATCACCGTCCTTTTTTTTGTCATCCATATCACTGCCTTTTTCAATGACAATTACTGCCTGCTTGAACGTTTGGATTAAGTTTTTGAATTGTTTCTCTCCCCTGGTTTAGTCGTCATTCTGCTGTTGTTGTCCCGGTTTTGCTACACGTCATCAGCCAGGAGATCTTCTTCTAATCCTCTTTTCCCTTAATCCACACTACTGATTTGTCGTAATGATGTAGCCGGTAATCACTCACCTTCAAGAGAGAAACATAAAGTTAGACCATGTCCATGAGACATATGAGTTATAGAAATTGGGAGAGAATATACAAAAGTAAGCTATATTTTTTAATCGTTACACAAATAGCAAATGCAAAACAATGTAATGCAAAATCATAATCAAGTAGTTTATTACAAAACATTAAAGTAGAAGTATAAGTTTGCAAGATCCTTGAAACCAGATTCTAAAGATCCATAAATTATGATTTTGCATTATAGACAAAATAGAAAATAAGGTACTTGTTATTACTCGTTATCTTTATCAATGGCGTTAACTTGCATTGCATGTCAGGACTTTTATCTTTAGGATGATAGATCTCTTATTTGTCCATTTTGTTTTGAAGTATTTAGTTGGGAAGTATGAATATAATCCAGTAGGGCATTGGCATCTTTAACCTGAATCATGTAAAATCAGAGAAATTTTAATATGACATAAAGATAATGAAATTGAATAAAAGAGTAGTCATAAACCTGGATCAGCTTCTTTGCTAAATTCTGTGAATATGACAAACACGCAGATGAGACGACGAAGAGGAAGGGGAAGAGAGACCGACAAAATAGAGATGAGAAACCAAAAAAGGGATTAATATGAGAATTTGCAGAAAATAAAACTATGGTAAGGAAGATAAAATAAATAAGAAGTTGAGTTGACTGAGAGTTAAATTTGAGATCAAACCATTTGAAAACGTGACATATTTCATCACGAACGTGATAGTGTGAGCAAATCTATGCAACCAGAAGAAAAAATGATGGAGACGAATAAACAATGATGGAGATGAATACAAAGAAAGATCGAGTAGAGAAAAACTAAACTTATTGGAGTTAAATAGAAAATGAACATGGAAGTGTTAGTGGGAGAAAAATTAGGGATATAGATTTTTTTACAGTTTTCTTAGAATTTTGTGGAACGGTATAAAGAAAAAAAAATTGTTTGTTCTACCTATGGGCTTACAATTCCGTCAAAAAAAAAACTGTTTGTCCACATTTATTTTTGTTTTTGTTTTCCTTGAAAAAAGGGAATTCAGTTTTGTTTTGTATTTGTTTTTCTACTTTTCGAACACGTTCGTTTTTTTTTAGAATTGTTTAAAAAAGAAATTATTTTTTGAAAAAAGGAAATCTATGTGTCAAAATTTTATTGGCCATGTGACTTGTGCTTTATAATATAAAGGATAATATAAAGGATAACACTATCATGACATCTCAAAAATCTAATTGCGCCTGCTTTTGCTCTATAATCTATATCTACTAAATCAACCGTCGCTTTTACAATAACTGATTATTTCTCCATCTGACACGTGTCATAAGTCTCAATTTCTTATCTTTTACTTTCTTTTATAACAAAAATAAGTATTTCACAAAAATAAAAAGAGATCATTTTCTGATTAACACGTACACAAAATCTGACATGTCAAAACAACAAAATTAATATAATATATTTTATTTTATAATTTATTTGGGCAAAACAGTTATCTTTTATCCTCAACTCCACGATCATTTCAAATTTCGATTAATACATTCCACAAATTTGTAAAAAAATAATAACAAACTTTCACAATTTTTCTCAACTGACTTCCACTTTCTTCTCCATGAAACGATTGATCAATGAAAAGAAGAAGATGGAGAAATTCTCAGAATATATTACAATTAAGGTACATCTATATCTATTAAATCAACAGTCGCTTTTACAATAACTGATTATTTCTCCATCTGACACGTGTCATAAGTCTCAATTTTTTATCTTTTACTTTCTTTTATAACAAAAATAAGTATTTCACAAAAATAAAAAGAGATCATTTTTCTGATTAACACGTACACAAAATCTGACATGTCAAAACAACAAAATTAATATAATATATTTTATTTTATAATTTATTTGGGCAAAACAGTTATCTTTTATCCTCAACTCCACGATCATTTCAAATTTCGATTAATACATTCCACAAATTTGTAAAAAAAATAATAACAAACTTTCACAATTTTTCTCAACTGACTTCCACTTTCTTCTCCATGAAACGATTGATCAATGAAAAGAAGAAGATGGAGAAATTCTCAGAATATATTACAATTAAGGTACATCTATGTATTTAAACATTTAACTAAAAAATTTAATCTCAGTTTTTTATTTTGGATCACGAAAATGTCATATCAATTTGAGATTTTAGGCTAACTACATGTTTTTGATATTCTGTGATTTCTTAGAAGTTTTACATTATGGTTAATCCAACTACATGAATTTAGTTTAGATTGATAGCCTTTGTTTACTTCACCTATTTTGCTATTAATGGTACAATTTTTTTGTTCATTGTTCTTCTTCTTACCTACGTTTCATTTGTCACTTATTATTGTTGTAATTAATATATTATTTTGTTGAGATTGTATATACATAATGTACATGCCACCATATTATCGAAAACTCTGTAATTGTCTGACCAAATAAAACTCATTAACTTATTCTATTTCTTATATTATGTATTGATTTTGTAGATATAGATTTGTCCGCGCATAGCGCGGGCTGTAAACTAGTGTACCCATAAATTGAAGTGTTAACCTTCGTCCACATACACATATTGTTGTTGAAGGAGGAGAGATGTGGAAAATATGGGAAATTAAAATACAAATATCATTCAAATTGGGTTCACTGGCATTTGCGTCTTAATAAGCAGAGAACACGAGGCACGCTAATTGCACCTGACTCATGTACATAGAGATAGACAAGTCCCAATAGAGTAGATAGAGATGTTTATTTTTCCATCCCCTTTTTATAAAATACATATAATTTTATATAAGAAATGAATGTGGCTAGATTCACAATTTTCGTCTTTTTAAAAAAAAAAAGAAATACAAAGTCGTATAAATAAAAAAGAGAACGAAAGAGGAGGAAGCAGCAACACGGAAAAGGTGGAGGAGAAAAAGAGAGTACTTGTTGTGGTATAAAGAATGAAGGAGTGAGTGTTTGTGTGTGAGTTTTATTATTTAAGAAAAAAAAAAAAGGGTTCGAATGAGGAGAAATGGAGATGGGGAAGAGGTGGTGGCGAAGAGGAGGAGGAGAATTAAGGAGCTAGTGCAGGTGGCTCTCAGGGGAGGTTGCTTGGCTGCTTCAGCCACGGCCATGGCGGTGATGCTGACTGCTACTGAGGAGGGAGTGGCAGACATCTACGGCTTCAAGCTCACTCTCTCCTCCAACTGGTCTTTCTCTCCCTCCTACCAGTCAGTCTTCTTCCTCTTCTTCTTCTTCTTCTTCTTACGAGCATTATTAGGGATAGACTGCCAATATGATATTTTTCTTTATCTGAATGCATATATTATAATAAAAAGAAAGCAGCAAAATAAAATGTGTGTGCTCAGATGACAGAAATTCTGGTGAACAGAAACACATCCGTGAACCAAACAACAATATGACATGACATTATTGTGTGCCTCAGTTTAAAACTTTGGGATTATGTAATACTATATTCATTCATTCATCTCATTAAGAGTAGTTTGGTTTGAAGGTATGTGGTGGGGGCATGTACAGGGACCGTGCTCTACTCTCTGTTCCAGCTCTGTCTCGGTGTTTACAGACTCCTCACCGGATCTCCCATCACACCCTCCCGCTTCCAAGCTTGGCTTTGCTTCACCTCTGATCAGGTTCCTCGTCTTCTTTTCTCCATTCACTTTTCTTCCGAATGTAACCCACTGATTTACTGTGTGCGCGCAGCTCTTTGGTTATTTGATGATGAGCGCTGGATCAGCCGGTTCTGGAGTTACCAACCTCAACAAAACCGGCATCAGGCACACTCCTCTCCCCGACTTCTGCAAGACCCTTTCTTCTTTCTGCAATCATGTGGCCCTGTCTCTCCTCTTAGTCTTCCTCTCCTTCATCTTCCTCGCTTCCTCTTCCTTCTTCACTGTCCTTGTGCTCTCCACTCCCTAATCTCTCTCTATTCTTGTTGCTTTATATAATCCAACAAAGACTCTACTTGCAATCCCAAAACAATGTATTTCTCTTATGAGTATTTCTCTGATGCAATACATTCAAGATGCGAAACAAATTACAATTACATCCAATCATATATTGGGTACAGAGAGGTCGATCCCTAGATGTGAGAGATCCTTAGCGAGCGACTCTGCATTCTGAAAACATAACCCACCCATCCCTATCTCTATTGCACACTTGACGTTGGTTGGCCTGCGTATCAGATCAAAATGGTTGATTTCTTCAGATAAACCATTGAGTTCAGATACAAACATGTTCTAACCTGTCATCAATGAATATACAGTGGCAAGGTTCAACTCCGAGATATCCCACAACCTCGAGATAGAAGTCTGGATCAGGCTTTCTCTTCCCTGAAAGATAAAAACACATGAGGAGGACGGTTTAGATGTGAGAAACAATAAGTAGTAAAGAGAGGCAAGAGATGTGTGTAGTACCAGAAATACAGGAACAAAACGTCCATGATAAGTAGGCAGAGAGCTTTAACTTGTCTTCGATAATGTTGTACCTATGGAAAAACGACAAGAGTAAACAAACAGCAAAGAGTGTATTCCAGGTGAAAGGCATTGGACGGAAACCAGATGGGATAGTTAGTGAAAGCATGAATCTCGAAGTCGTCAGCAGCCAAAGTGTGAAGAAGCTCTTGCATGCCATCTAAGTAGGAGTATCCTGACCTCATGCAATCCTTAAGCCCTGCAAATGCCATTTTCTTGAATTTAATAGGTACCAGGAAACCCTCTATCTATCTATCTATATAAGGTTAGGCAATTTCACCTTCCAAATCAAAGTCCCTTCCATCTATAAAGAACTTTCTTGCAAGCTCCTCCTAAAACCAAAAGTCAGAAGATATACGTACTGTATGATGATTTTTATAAGGAAAGAGTGGGAGTGGACTCTAGTACCTCGTCAATCAAACCCTTTTCAAATTCGATCCAGGCCATCGGGTGCTTGCACTCTAGTAGTTCCTTCATTGGCATTCTGATCCCCAACAAGCACAGTTTATCATTCACCCGGAAAGCAAATTGAGTTATTAAGGATTCACATTCTCACCCGAAGAAGGCCGGAACGTCGTGGTAAAAGGGGTCACGGACGATGGTGTCCATGACGTCGAAGAGGAGAATCGGAAGCTTCCTTTTCCGAGAGATATCATCACTGCTCAGACAGCAAGAACCCGAGGCCCGATCAGGCTTCTTCCAGATGTTGGGTTTCAGATTGATGAATTCCGTCGATGTATGCATCGCCGCCGCCATCAGAAACGCCCTGGTTCATCTAATCTAGTTTCCGATAAGTAAAAATGACAGCCACGCACACAGGGGAGTCGAAACGCAGCGTTTAGAGAGAAAATCGCCAAGGAGAAGCTGATTGGTCCACGTCATTAATTAGGTTGACGTGGTCAAGAAGAAGTGGCCCATGACTTGCACCAAGGATTAATGCATAATAAATAAACCGTTTCGTTTTCATCTCCACGACTCGGAGAGCTCAACCGCCACTTTCTTTCTCCTTCTTTAAATAGAGCAGCAGAGCCACCCACCATTATTTACACTTACACAACCATCAAAGCTACGAATTCCTCTCAAACATACAAAGAAGAAGATGATGATGATGATACTCATGAGATCTCCTTGTAATAATCTAATGATAATGCTGTGCATTTGTGCCCTTGTGGTGGCTTCCATGCCGGCGGAAGGTCCTAGGGTTTTCAAGGTTGGAGACGAGTTCGGGTGGAGAGTCCCACTCCAGAATGATTCAGCGCTTTACAGCCACTGGGCCAGCAGCAACCGCTTCCACATCGGTGATTCACTCTGTGAGCTAGTTCCCAACTTCTGTAATCAGTTTTTGATCTTCATCGGTAATAATTGATTGGTTTCTAATCAAAATAAACTATATATATATATATATATATATATATATATATATATATATATGCAGCGTTTGTGTACGACAAGGACTCAGTGGTGGAGGTAGACAAATGGGGTTTCTACCACTGCAACGGCAGCGATCCCATTACAGCCTTTGACAATGGAAACAGCACGTTCGACCTTGATCGTCCTGGTCTCTTCTACTTCATCAGCGGCTCCAACCAGCACTGCACCAGCGGCCAGCGTCTCATCGTAGAAGTCATGCATATCCACCAACACCATGATGACCATCACGACAATGCTTCCATGCCTCCATCCATGTCGCCTCTCTCTGCCTCTCCCTCAGCATCTGCTGCCTCCTCCCTGTCCACGGCTTCTCTGTTCCCTGCTTTTCTTCCTCTTTTCTTAACCATAGTCCATAGCTAGCTCTTGTTTCATTTCTTAAGTCATATTGGTGCCCTTTGAATTGATTGCTGCTCTTTACTTTTCTTCTTCTTTTTTGTTGTTTCATTCATCGAACCTTATGATATAATCCGATTTATGTTCTCTTCATTTGTAAGTTTACTCTCTCTCTCTTTAAAACAAAAACAATCAAAGCCAACAGAGATAACTTTACGTCTTTACCATTTAAGGGCCGGGCTTTAGAGTAAACAAATTTGGTAACAGATATGGGCCTTTTTGATTAACATGGGCCTTTTTGATTGATATGAGTCTTTTATAACATGTATGGGCCTTAATAATTGATATGAGCCTTTTAAAATAAGATTTGAAAAGACGGTAACACCCTCGTCGGGATTCAATAAACTTTGCCTTGTTGTCTATTGCCGGAATTTCAAACCCTAGCCCTGCGACACCGCCAATGACGCCGTCTCCGCCTCCGCCTCCAGACGATGCTTGGATCCGCTCTTACCACCGCTTGCTTCCTGAATCGCAGTCTCTTCTCGCTTCCCGCCGGGTATGCTCTTAGGTTCTGTCTCAGAGATGCTTGCTTGTTTCGTTTGTGTCGTGGCTTATATGTATCTTTTATGGCAGTCAATTATACCGGTTGCAATCTCTAGAGTGAATCAGTTTGACGCAGCACGATTAGATGTTGAAATGTCAGCCATGTTGAAGGAACAGCTGGTTAAGGTTTTCACTTTGATGAAGGTATTCCATCATCAATCAATTCCCAGAGCTTCTTTGCCTCTATATACCATTTTTATCTAGCGTTTTCTTGGCTTCTTTGGCCTTAGCCAGGAATGCTCTTTCAATACGAACCAGAACTTGATGCTTTCCTTGAGTTTCTCATTTGGAGATTCTCTATTTGGGTTGACAAACCCACCCCCGGAAATGCTCTCATGAATCTTAGATACAGAGATGAACGAGTCCTAGCCAAAGGTATTTTATTTCCACTTCTGTACCCTTTTTTATAACTCTTCCTCACTCTTGTACTCTCGTATAGTCAGAACAGGACTGGAAGGACCCGGACTTACTGCTCCTCAAAAGATTTGGTACTGCGTTGCCTCCGTTGGTGGTCAGTACCTCTTCTCCCGTTTGCAGTCATTTTCTGCTTTCCGTAGATGGGGTGATTCTGAGCAGGTGTGTTCCTCATCCTCTTGCCATCGAGACTTACTCTCCCTCATAAACATGGTTGATTCTTTTTTCCTTGCTCTTGTAGAGACCTTTGGCTAGGCGACTTTGGACCCTCATACAACGAATCGAAGGCATCTACAAAGCTGCTTCTTTTCTTAACCTATTGTCATTTCTTTATACGGGAAGGTACAACTTGGTACATAGACTCCTTCATTTCTTCTACATATCCTTATAAAAACACACAACAGTGCAGCAACAGTTCCTTAGATGCACTAAAATTCAGCTAATGGTTGCTAACTGCAAAGACTAACAAATATTGGAATTACAATAAATTCCTGGACAACACTTATCAACTTATAAGTTCACAATGAAAGATTGAAACGAGAACCAAAATCACAAACAGAATCATCTTGATGATTATCACTTCCGCTACGCTTCTTTTTCTTTCTTGATCCAGGTACAGGAACCTCATTGAAAAAGCTTTAAAAGCTAGGCTTGTCTATAGGAGTCCCCATATGAACCGATCTGTCAGCTTCGAGTACATGAACCGCCAACTTGTGTGGAATGAATTTTCGGTAGGTCTTCTTCTGTGTGTTACTTAATTATGGTAACATCAATTTAAAAGTTTGGCAACCTGTCAGTTCTGAGTAGCATCCTTGGCTGATGGTTTCTTGCCTATGATTGATACTTGCTGGTCTCGATGATTTATAGTATCTAGCAGCTTAGCTTCACTTTGTCTTTGGAAGGAACAGTTTTGCTGCTCGAACTTGAGCTGTTAAAAGCTGAAAACATATTGTTTCCTTATCTGGAATTCTGAACTAGGTAGAGCCTGTGACTCAACTTTCATGGGAGTACAAATACCTTGTCTATGTTTAAAACAATGTATTTGTTGCTTTTTCTCTCTTTCAGGTCCTTCAATAAATCAAAACATTCTTTTTAGACTTGCTGTCTCAATTGATGAGTATTTGGCATTCAGCTTTAGATTTGTTTGGTGATATTCAGGAAATGCTTTTGTTGCTTCTTCCGCTGCTCAACTCTTCAGCTGTGAAGAATATTCTTAGTCCATTTGCCAAGGACAAGTCCTCAAGCACTAAAGAGGATACAGTGAATTGCCCTATTTGCCAAGTGGATCCTGCAATACCTTTTATTGCTCTGCCTTGTCAGCACAGGTATGGTATTTTTCTGTGTACCTCTGCAAAAATTTTGGATCAGAATAGGGTCCTTAACTCTCTCCCCCAGATATGTAGTATAATAACTAATTCTACTAGAAGCTACGTAATTTCACATGATTGTATTTGAGGAATCATGGGGTACGATCCACATTAGAGAAGACACAGAAGTGATTTTATTGGCGATGGGTGAAGAATTCATAGTATGGCTGTAGTTGTTACTTACGTTTAAAAGAATTACTTGTCGCAGGTACTGTTACTACTGCATAAGGACCCGCTGCGCTTCAGCAGCATCGTTCCGGTGTCTTAGATGTAACGAGCCTGTGGTTGCCATACAACGGGAAGGTGTTTCAAGTGGCAAATGAAAGGAGGTGACGAATTGTTGAGTCATGCCACCAAGTCTTGAAGAATAAGCAGCTGCAATAGTGGAAGTGTAAAAAGCTAAGGCAAGCAGCCGAAAGCAGAGAAGAATCTGATAGGCGTTCGTTTGCAAACAGGCTGTACAAAAGGGAACATCATCGATGTGATGCAGCAAAGAAATTTAGATAGGTACATTTCTGTACATGAGTTGAGAACCTACCAATACCATTATTGAATGAAGTTGGGTCTTATGTTTACTATAAAATCAGTTGAAACGTCGGCTATACTTGAATGAATAATATCCATTTCCTTACATGTTGTGAACTACTTACTACTCACTCCTACTTCCATACTAGTAGTACATTTTACTTGTATCCCTCCAAGGAAAAAAAGAGAGCCAGAAGAATAATATGAATTCTCTGCATAAAGAGATCACTGGGTATCACTGGGTGGAAGAGAGCAGACTGATTTCTATCTCTTGGAGGCTCTTTCCTTTAGTCTCAACCACGTTCTTCTGCACAAAGATGACTGCCACCACACAGAAGAACCCAAAGATTGCATTTAGAAGCACCGAACCTAGTTGCTCCAGCATTCTCAGAAACAGCAACCCCACAAAGAAGTTTATTACCTGTTAATCCGTGTCATTCTCCAAGGTTATTATTATTTCAACATTATCCATGTCCTACAAAAGGTCCACCAAGAGAAAAGCCATACCCAGTGAACAGCAAGACAAACGGCCAACGCTGTTGCCCGAAGTCGACCAGGGCATATCTCAGACAGGAGAAGACTTGGAACAGGACCAGCTCCAGTTGCGAACGACAACACAAACCTGCATTTTCGTCATCACACCCCTAGTTTATCAAAAAACCCTCCCCCCTTTCCACTGCCGTTGTTGTTAAAGAAAACTTACAGTAGCATTCCACCAACTGAGAGAAACAAGGTTCCAAAGGGCGATGAAAGCGAAGTATATGCTATTGCTTGGAGACCCAGCGATACTGCCTGTTAAAGATGATTAACATTTATATCTTCATACATGGAGTGTTATTAAGTAATAGCTACGTAAAGTTTGATTCAAATAGCGCTTTTCGCTATCAACAATTACCATGCCTGCAAAACTCCCAATAAGCAACACTTTTCTCCCCAGCTTATCCATCAAAACCACCGCTACAGTTGAACCTGTACAAGAGCATGAATAATGCTCACATTCGGTTTAGATACAGATCATCATTTCACTTGACAGATTCAACATGTTGAATGGAAAGTTTTCGGCTCTCTTCTTCATCATCTTTGTGATAAGAGGAAGGTTGTTCACTTAAACACGTGATTAGTTTTACTGTTCCTAATGTTGTGTCCGTATTCAGGAAGACTGCATTCACCTACTTGCTTATCTAGCTTATCATTAATATGATGGATGCCTTTCAAGCCATAGTAGAATGTACAAGAAAAAGTCACATTTCAATACCTAAGAGGTTGCAAACTCCTACACATATGTTTGCAGAGGCTGAAGGTACACCAGCTTTCTTGAAGACGGTTGATGAGAAATAGAACACAGCGTTTATCCCCGACAACTGTTGTAAAGCAAAAAGGGTAGATCCAATGAAAACCACTGCAATCGGAGAAAATTAAAACGTAAAAATGAATGAAATCAAGAGGCTACATGCCATCCATATGTTTTTGGCAAATGAAAATGACATTTTTTTGGCTACGAATCCAGTTTAGCCGGCTAGCAGACTTTCCGCCCAGATGATTGATGAATCAAAATCTGGATCTAATTTTTCCGTGATATTTGACATCAAACTAATGTCACGCGTTGTCACCAATCTTGTTGTTAAAGATCCCACATACCTCTAAAACTGCGCCCGAAAAGCAACTCCGACAATTTGGCTGAATCCGCGTCATCTCCCCTATCCGACTTCATTAACTCTGCCATAGAAGCTTTGACGTATGACCCTCCCAATAGCTTCTCAAACACGGCTTCAGCTTCAGCTGCCCTTCCCCTCTACAGTTCAACAGAGAAGGAGAATTAACGGAAGAAATGGTTTATTAAAACGTCTTTAAGAGCTATGCGGGTTAAAATTAGAAAGTAACCTTAAAAAGCCACTGAGGACTTTCCACGCAGAGTTCCATGAAGACAGCAAGCATTGCGGCTGGGACTGTGGATATCCAAAAACATATACGCCACCTAAAACAATTAAGAAAGAGAAACCTATTTAACTCGTAATTCAGCCGAGTTGACCATTAACCAAGTAGACCAAAGCATGTGATATGCTAGTAGCTTAGAAACTCCAGGATTCCTTTCCCTGCAAAGCCGGTTCCTCATGTCGAAATCTACTAATGAATTTGCAGCAAAAGACGAGGGGATTCTATAGAGTTACAGCATTTCAACCAAACACTAGAGATTCACATTGTTGGAATAGACAACTGGGATCAAACATGCCACCAAAAGCAAGA